TGGTTCTTTGCTTTCTCAATGTGTTTTCTGCTCTGCATTTCTGATCGTGTTGAAAAAATAACTATGAATGTTTCCAGTTGTACAAGTATTCTTATAGTAGACTTCCCTTGAGCAGTCACTACGTGCCAAGATGGAGAGAGCATCAGTTAAAGAGAAGGTAGAAGACGAGTCTAAGATGGTTACCAAACAAATACTATCTTTCGCTTTGGATGAGAAGGTATATAGGTATATATACTAGTAAGTACATCACTGAAAGGCAGATCCAAGAAACTAGATAAAAACAGTAATTAAATATTTTTATTTTGTACAGGGTGCATTTGTGAGAGAAATACTTCTTGAGGAATTTTCTAAGGTATGAACTTGGGATGTCTTTTGGAATTTCTTTTGTGGAATCATGTCGAAATTACTCTCGTTCAAGGGGATTAGCAAACTTGAAAACTCATGACAAGTTGCCTCATTACTGGCTAGTCCACTGCATGCCCTTCACGTTTACTTACCACTTCTTATCTTTCATGATTGCTGGTGACAGAAAAGGTAGGACTATTCTTTAGAATATGAAGCATATATTGTTATGTAAGTGGGAAAAAATTGTCTTGTAAAATGCTTGGAAGCCCTGAAAAATATGTAAATGTTTTCAGAAACCTTGTTAACCTTTTCCTCAACTAATTTTATTTTGTAGTCTGCAGGGGTTCTGTTTTTCTTTTAATGGGAATTCAGGCTATTGGTTTATATGGTTCTACTGAACCAACATTAAATTTTGAGAAAGTAGTCAATCGGTGTTATCCCGTGGCCTTGGAAATAACATTTTTATATTGGATTTTTTATTGCTTTTACTGTCAAATTTTCAATCATGCCGCTACATACATGGTTGCTCGATACCCGCGTAAAAGCGCATTATAGTACTTGTATGCTTTTATCTGGAATCTTACCAAAAATGGGAGCGTATGGATTAGTTCGAGGTCCATGCTGCGTGTTTGCACAAGTCAATACATGACCCTGAATCTGGTGTATTAATTTGGTGAATGCACTGGTATGTAGTAACCAAGCATCACATTTTTTGATCATAAGTTCAACCTAAATTCTGTATAATGTATTGTAAGTCGGTGTGAAACAAACTTCCATCTTCAAGGTGAACTCTTTCCTTCTCTCTCTTCTGGTTCTTAGGGTCCCGGTCCATTTCTTGGCCGATTTTGTTGCATGTTATGTTAAATTACAACACATCACCTTTGGGTACAATTTACAACATCAACTATACTTGATGTTTTCACCTATAAATAAACCCATTTAAGTCCTGTAGTGTAGTTCATATAGCCAGCTTTTAAACATGGTTAAGGCTCGGTTTTATAGCTTAAACAACTTCTGGTTGATAGTTATTACGTTCCTCTTTTTACATGTTAATAGGGGTTGGATGCACTTGGACTAGCGACCTTGGACTCTATAACATCTACCATAACTGGAAACTTACCCTTCAGACCATATCCTGTTTCCTCTTTAACTAATGAAGACATTACCAATCTGAGAACACTGCAAAGGCTCATGCAATTACTCTCAGGTCTTCAACCGACTGAAACTCCTGCGGTAAGAGATTTTTGTTGAGGAAAATTGTACTTTGCAGTCAATAGAAATATAAGATAATCAACTTTTCCGGCCCAGTTTGCAGACTCATACTTGTAGATTTCAAAACTCTGAGCTGTTATAAATTTTAAATGCGAAAGTTATGCTCCCCCTTGCTTGTGTTTGATGCCATTTATAGCATATCTTAGTAGTACATTGTTAAAGAAATAATTTGTAAGAATTTGTATATATTGCTAATTTGTTGTAGCAGGAAGTCAAAGGAGTCAATCTGTATGACAGTCAAAATCCATCTTCAAGTGAAGCTGGACTGCTCCCTTATGGAATAGTATGGGGACAAGAAATGTTACCACTTCTATCTGTGATTGCTGAGGTTTGAATTAAGCAATATAGCCTCTCTAGCATTTAATAGAAAGGCACACGGTCGATTATGTCGATTTCTTGTTACTAAAAAGGAAGAGAACTTCAAATTAAAATAGTTCAGCTTAAAGATATTCCAAAAATTCAGCATTGTTTGTCTTCTACGTACATGAGTCGTTTAATAGTACATCTTTCATTATCCTTCCATGTTAAAAAAATATAGTGATCCAGTGTTTTTTATTCTTCCTTTTTTCAGCTTCCACAAGATTCGAAACAGCAATTGTTGAGATTGCCAGCTGATCTAGCAGGAAAATTAGTTTCTCGTGCAGCTGCCAGGACAATCAGACGGGCTTTCATGTTAAAACACCCAAAACTCCTATGATCAGCTATCAAGGAGTCCATAAAAAGCAGTTTTAAATAGTAATAAGGAGGTACTTAGCATACAAGTTTGAAAGAATACTACAACATTTAGGTTGAAATATATACAATATATGGAATCGTCCCAATCCTGTAAACACACCTATAATTTTATGATTTCAATTCTTATTCCAACCTTTTCCGACTAAAAACAAAATTTGTCAAGTGTTGTCTTAGTAAGACAATTTATGAAGCAAGCATTCTGTGCTAGTGCTCGAAAAGGAACCATCACCAAACTACCACTCATCTCAAAAGCTAATGTCCCCCTTGCCAAGAGTCCAAAATATGTGCTTCCGAGCACATCTAACAGTTTTCAAGCAGCTAGCTACAAGATAGCGCACATTAAGAAATAGACGAGCAATCATAGATTCAGATTTTCTTATATTTATTCTTCTGGGGTATGTGCATAGCACACAGCAGTAACTAAATTGGAAGATGAACTTGTTGCAACACAAAATTAATGTCTGGGAACGTATTGAAGGATGTTGATGTGTTATCTTGGAGCCTTAGGTAATTTTATACTGCAATGAGTACCTGTGCTGTCGAGATACAAACAACAAATGGGTCATTGCTTAGGATGTGCAGATGCAAATCAAGTCAAACAAAAACTTGATTTCAGCATAATTTAAGTAAAATCTTTAAAAATACATTTATATTGTAATTAACCAAATTTATAGTTCGGAATAATCAAAAGTGTGTTAGTGGTCTATCTATCGTCTCCAGTTTAATAATAATAATAATCATAATAATAATAATAATAATAATAATAATAATAATAATAATAATAATATCTCAAAGAAGTTGATAAGATGTCAGATATCAGCTAAGTCCAACTCTTTGCAGAATTTGTAGAGAAATAACCAAAAAAAAAAAAAAGTTATAAAAGTTGTCCTTCACTTATATGTGCTATTGTGCTAGTACCTGGATCACCTAGAATGCTTTAACTTCATCATTTTGGTTGAATGCTTTCTAATTTTTGCTGCTTAGGCTCATTTTTTGGTTGCCCCGAATATTAGGTCTAAGTAGCCACCAACTGTGATTCTTGTGAGCCGCCTAGGTCGATTTCGCCAGAATAGAGTGATGACCAAAATTTGGTAATACTGAAATTGGCTAAGCCAAAATAACATTCAACCGATAAAATTCTCCTGAGGGGACCTGTTCGATTATTTCTGTGGAAAGCTTTGATTCTCTTTGGGAAGAGCTTCATTCCATCTAGCGGTGGTCGCATTTCATAGATTCTATTTCCTTTTTTTCTTCGACTATTTTGCTACTTTGTTTTCTCGGCGGGTGCTAGGGCTTTTAATTAGGGCTCAATTCCTTCTGGGGTCTAATGGATTTCGGAGGAACCGGGATTACCGGGGTAGAAGGAGGTGCTGAGGATTTAGGAAGCAAATTACAAAACATTGACTTATCGAAATCAGAGAGTTGTTTCATCGATCTCAAGGAGGATGACATCAAAATCAGCGCTTAGGAATGCAAAAGAAGTCTTTTGGGCGGATCATTGGCGACCGGAGAGCAAGTATGATTGGCATAGGACGAACTATGGGATCTATCTGGCAGATTCAATATCCAATGGAGGTAAAAGATCATAAAAACAATTTCTTCCAATTCGCTTTTGGGAGTATTGCTGATAAATAGATGGTTATGCTGGGGGATCAATTGGGTCTTTGAAAACCAATACTTAGTTTTAACTGAATGGGAGGAAGGGCTTTCTGAGAGACATGTAAAATTACAGAATTTAAGCTAGGGTTCATGTAAATGGCATCCCCATTAATTGGATTTTGCACTGATGTGGGTTTAAGAGTAGGAAAAATGTTCAAGCAGACAAAGAATGTAACCATTGTCATAGCAGGAGGACAAAGAGGGAGCTACTTAAGACTATTGGCCGTTGTAGATGTCACCAAACCTTTACCTAGGGTGGCAAATTTGAGGCTAAATGACACTCGGGTAAGGGCAAGTTTCTAGTATGAAAAGTTGGTGAATACTTGCTTCTGTTGTGGGATCATTGGACACCTAGAAAGAGGTGAGAATTTATGATATTGATTTAGGAGAACATAAAGAGGGGCAATATGGGGAATGGCTAAGGGTTGCGGATTATCATGTAGGAAGTAAATTCAGCTCTGGTTTTAGTTCTGGAAGTACATCCAAAGATTCACCCACAAAAGAGAAACAATCAAGCCAAGAAAACCACATCGAAGGGAGTGGGCACAAATCTGCAGGGAGTGGCATTCAAGCTCCTAATATCAAGACAACTACCTTAGCAGATACCCCTGCACCAATCATAACAGAGTCCCAACAAAGTTCAGAACCAAATGAACAGTGCTTGTCTTTGATACCACTCAATCACCTAACTACCAATGTACCAACAGACAATCAAACTCAACTGATGGTTATGCAGTCAAGACCAGGTCCAAATACAACTCAGGAAGTAGAGGAATCAGAGATGGGAATTCCAAGGAGAAAAGGATAGAGAAGGAAACCAAATGTTACAGGAAGCAAGGTCAATACATCCACACTAGTTCATCAGAATCATGATGACCTAACTACCAGAAGGAGGAAAAGGAATTTGGCAGTAGCTATAGTAGAGGCAAAGGAGAATATTCAGGTGACAAGAGGAAGTAAAAAGCTCAAGAATTTATCTGAGGTGGGGGTCGCCAACCCTGAGTGGCCCCCAAGGGATCAATGAAGCTCATCATGTTGAACTGTAGAGGGTTGGGTGGACCCTTTACAGTTGCCCAACTTAAGGAGTCTTCTAGGCTTCACCATCCCCATTTTGTATTTTTATCTGAAACAAAAAAGAAAAATCAGTTTATTAAATCTGTTTGTAATAAAATAGGGTTTAAGGGGAGGTGGTTTGCAATGGACCCTAGGGGTTTAAATGGGGGTCTGTTTGTTTTGTGGAATAAGGATGTAGTTATTAAGCAATTTGTTAGTAACCATTTTTGTTTTCAGTTAGAAGTAGAGGTTATTGAGGAGGAAGGGTCTTTTGGGGTTATTTTTGTCTATGCCAGCTCTGATAGATATGAAAGAATCTTGCAATGGCAATTTCTGGAATCTGCTAGAAGTAGTTGGCGTAGTAAATGGGTTTTGGGTGGAGATTGAAATGAAATCTGTGATGTTAGTGAGAAGAGAGGGGGTAGACAGAAATCTGAAGGGGAGTTTAAGGGTTTTAATGATTTTATTTTAAGAATGGTGATACAAGAATTGCCTTTGATAGGGCACAACTTTACATGCGGTAACAATAGAGGGATGGGGGTTTTATTAAAAAGAAAATAGAAAAATTTTTTGCATCTTTTGATTGGCTTGCAGATCATCAAAATACAGAAGTCTCCAATATTTTTAGAAGTTCCTCTGACCACAGATTACTGGCTCTGAATGATAAACCAGACAACTCAACTCACAAGGCCAGAAGGTTCTTTTTTTACAGAAGATGGCTGCATAGGCCTGGCGTTCATGATGTGATTCAGTATGGATGGCAGTCTCAGCAAGATGGAACTCCCATGTTTCAAGTCTCAAAATAAATCAAAGCTACAAGACTATCATTGCTTAAGTGGAGTGAATTATTAAGAGAACAAATTCAGAAAAACAATGAGATAAACAATACTCTTGAAAGATTGAGTAGAATGGGTGCTGACAGAAATTGGGAGGAATGGGGCAAACTCAGAAAAGAATTGGATGTGGTGATCAAAGCAGAAGAAGAATATTGGGCTTAGAAGTCAAGAACTAAATGGTTAAAGGAGGGAGATTCCAACACCAAATACTTCCATGCATTAACTCTTCCAAGAAGGAAGCTCAATGCTATCACAAGGCTAGTGGGTGATAATAATCTTGTGCTGGACAACAAGGAAGACATCACAAATCATATCTTCTGTTATTATGAGAAGCTGTTCAGAACTGAGAGTTCCAAAGGGGAAGCAGACATCTTGCATCTCATCCCAAATTCAATATCTTCAGAGATGAATCATTCCCTTATTGCTTTAGTCACATAAGAGGAGATTAAAGCAGCTTTGTTCAACCTTAATCCAGGTAAAGCCCCAGGCCTTGATGGCATGAGTCCTCTCTTTTTTCAGAAGTTCTGGAGTGTTATATCTGTTGATTTCTGCAAAGCTATATGTAGTTTTTTTAAATCATTGCAGTTGTTGAAGAATTGGGATCATACTCTCATCTCTTTGATTCCTAAGTGTCTTAATCCCTCTTCTCTTAAAAAATATAGACCAATAAGCTTATGCAGTTTCTCTTATAGAGTTATTGCTAAGATTCTGTCATTGAGAATAAAGCCTTGCTTATCAGAATGTGTGAGTGAGAATCAATCTGCTTTTATCCCTAGTAGGAAACTTCTTGATAATGTGGTGATAGCTTAAGAAGTCATTCACTACTTGAATAGACTGAGAACAGGGAGGAAAAGTTTCATGCTGATCCAAATAGACATGGAGAAGGCTTTTGATAGGATTGAATGGAGCAGTGTGAGAAAGGTGATGTTGAGGATGGGTTTTCATGCTAGATTTATTAAGTGGGTATGGGCATGTATCTCCTCTACTTGTTTTTCTTTTAATCTCAATGGGGAGGTCCAAGGTTACTTCAAGGCTCCTAGAGGAATTAGACAAGGGGACCCTCCGTCCCCTTATATTTTTATTCTCATATCTGAAGTCTTTTCCAAATTCCTGCATGCTGAGGTAACCAGAGATAATTTTAAGGGTCTGAGGATTGCTATGAAAAGTCCCGCTGTGTCCCATCTCATGTTTGCTGATGATACCTTAATTCTGTGTGAATGTAATGTGAATCATGCTAAGACATTGTTGGATTTGTTGCATAAATATCAAAGGTTCACAGGGCAGAATGTGAACCTTAGTAAGTCTTCCATCTATTTCAGCAAAAATTGTCAGCAATCTACTCAAGACTTGATTTGTCAACTGTTGGGAGGTATTCAGGTTCACAGATCTACCAGATACCTAGGGCTTCCCCTAG